ATGATTCAAATTCAAATTATTCGCACACCTCTATTTTTTCTCTTCTAGTAACAGTATTTGTAATACTGTATAGCCATTCTGGATATAAATAATTACATATGTAAAAACGTAAATTAATGCCCGTTAATATACGTATAGATTAACTTTAATCTCTTAACTTATTTTTCATCATTTTCTAATAAATATTGACAAAAAATAACAGACATCAGTTTATTTTTATATTGTCAAAATAATCACTCTGAGTATATTAATCAAAAAGTGCATGCTCGTCGTTTATTAATAAGATATTAATATAAATAATGATTTGTAAAAATTAAAATTTATATATAGGCTGACAATAAAAAATTTTATATTGGACAAGATTTATATAAATATTCCTACTATACTCATATACTTATAATACTTTCCAGCAAGAAACAGTGTAATACAGTGATCACTTCATTCTTTGTTTAACATTGACAATCGTTGCAATAGAAATATAATAATTCACTTAATTGTTAGACTGGTTGTGATCCACTTAACGTTGCGAATACTTCATTGGCAAACAGAAAGAATTTTACGAATTACTCAATCAAAGAATGTTTCAAAGCATTTACAGAGTGAAGTGGATCGTACTCACTGTCATCTGTCATCTTATTGGAAAGCACCCTTAAATAAACACGCAAGTTATTTTCTAGCATGTTCCAAAATAAAATATTTGTAGTATTACATCAAATTAATTATTTATTAGATATATGGTTTATTTCCTATCCCTACAAACTAGACTGCACTAGAATTTTCTTTCACACTTCCGACAAATATCAATACTCACTTTAATATATTCACTTTAAGTTCCAAAAGTGTATTAGTTCAGTCACAGAAAATAGATCAATAGTTCGCTCACATTAATGCGTGTATATGTAAATATAATAAATCACGAATATAAAGTATCAATATATTTACTTACTTATAAATCCTCCACCGGCGATGTGAATTAATTTCCGATCACAGTCTGTAACCTGAAGCATTGAGGTCCAGTGACTCCAGTGTCCATACACTTACTGTATATACATAACATGAAACAAAATTAAAAACTGTAATTATTACTCAATTATATACCAAATATATCCTGATATCCATAGTTATATACTTACACAATTCAACGTTCGTAAAATTTACGCGCGTCCACTCCGCCATGTTGCTTTCTTTTGTTTGGAGAGAACTTGATTTCGACACGCATGCGTAGAGAATCCGAAACCCTCTAGTGTCCTCTAGCGCCAGCTTCCAACAATATCAGACATGTCATCTACTTCGTGTTTCTGTAAAATTTAAGTGAGAGTAAGAAACTAATAATACGATAGTAATTTCATGATTTATTAGTTTCATAAACATGTACATATGTTTAATAATACTCGATTTTTATTTAAAACTGTGATTTTAATGTTATCATCCGAGTTTGATTATCAATAGAGTGATAACTGAAAAAGAGATAAGAGAAAAAATTGTAATTTTTCGGCAATAAGATATTAGCATTAAAAGTATGCATACTTATTTATACAGCATTGGTATGATAAAAAGTCACGAATTTAATAATGTATTATTTAAATATTTATATTAATAGTCATAAATAAATAAAAAAACCCCGGACCGAGTCACGAAAATTTGCCCAGGGCCGACGATCTTTAATAGTATCTCATCGGTATCGCAGATGACGCAGGTAGTCATAATTTAGGCTGATTTAGACCGTTTAGACCATTAGACTGTTCAGAAGTTCAGATAGGTTCAGTCACACAGCAAGATCTGATTTGATCTGATTGAGTTTAATGTTGATAAATCAAACAGGTTGTGTTTAGATTACTATTCTTATTTCGTTCTAATCAGTCCTGCATTTTAATTTATCATTATTCGATATCATTCGCTGTTCAACGTTTTTCAATATTTTCTTACTGTGACTAAATCAAATTGGGTTAAGATATGAGTAAAATTCACTGAAGGATCAAGACAGGAGTGTTACGTGGAATTTCTTGAATTAAAGATAACTGCAGTTATAAATAAAAATCACAATGACGCCGCCGATGGAAAGGATCCAGATTTTGGAGACTATCGAGAAAGACATCGTAGTGTGTTTACAAAGTGCAGGTAATTGTCAAATGTTTTTATGATTTACTTATGCCCATATCCATCAATATAGATTAACTTTAATCTCGGTTCAACTTATTCTTCGTCTTTTTCTAATCGTTAGAATTAGACACAGAGTAATTCGAACCGAGATTAAAATTAATTTATATTAGTGGAAAAACATTGAAGAGCTTTCCAGAGAGACCAAGAAACACATATCCACAATCATTCATTACAAGAATCATTCTGCATTTGTTTCTCACTGAATATAAGATAATATGTCTCCTATTAGAGAGTTCCCATAGCGGGTGCTTTTCATTTGATGATACAAATCGACTCAAGTATTGTTCTGTCTTTGTTATTTACTGGAATGTTAAGAAAGATAGAATGATGTTTGTATTGACTTGTGTTACTAAATGGAAAACCTAGTACGAATTCCTGGTATATTAAAATAGTGTACTTGCACCAAACATACGAAACAAAGCTGAATACATAAAGATGTGAATACTAGAAGCAAGGATATTTGATACACAAGATGTATGTACTTTGCAAGATGTGCTTTTATGTTATACAGGACAAGCTTGTATGGAACTGAGCAAGGAAAAATCAAGCTTGAAGCAAGCAGAGTCGCAAACGCATCAATTCTTGAAAACTCTAGGACAATTGGAATCTAAATTAAGTGAACAGATTAATTATCTCACGCAAGTTTCTACTGGTATGTATTTATTTAACAATATTATGACCATATCCCTTTCAATGTACCTTTTTAATAAATATTTCTCACAGGCCAACCACATGAAGGTTCTGGATATGCAAGTCAAAAGGTACTGCAAATGGCGTGGCACAGATTGGAACACGCGCGAAGTAGAGTTAATGAATTGGAACGTATAAAGAACAAGCTACGATAAGTACATAATATTCTTCAATTCAAAATATATATTGTAAAGACGAGTAATATTACATTAATGTTGCTTGTGACAACTTATCTAACAAATTATAATAAAATTACATACTTTTATCAATTAGAACTTTTCTTATCATCCTGTTTACATCACAGTAGTCATCGTAAATAAAAACAAATTTGTAATAACCACTTTTATTTTAAACTATATATAAACTATTTTATGACCAATAAAATTGGCTGCGCTCATCAAAAAAGTAATCTGGTAAATATTTTATGCTGATTAAATTATATTTTTAGATTTTGAAATAGTTCTATCTTAATTATTTAAAACTATTATGCAATCAGCGCAAAGTATTTGAAGTTGCTTTTTTGCTGAACGCAACAAATATGAATCTTATAATACAATTTTTTAAATATATTTTTATTGCGAGTGTACAACATGCTAAAAAAATACATAAATAATTTCTTTACATGCCTTTATCTTATATTTATCATATATATATGTATCATAAAAATAGTAAACTTTATGAAAACATTCCAACACGCGACATACATTATGCGTTTTATGATTAAAATTTGCACGTATGAAATGAGCATCGTAAAAAATTTGTTTTTGAACACTTCTTTCTTGTGATTCTTTGATGTTATCGATATCCTTATGCATCTATAACTCCCATGCTACGTTTTACCGTAGCAGCTAATGAGAGTCGTGATCTTCTCTCCTCGTCTAATTGTTTTGTTAGTAGCGACATTTGCGATTGTAAGTCAGTCATTTGATTCTTCAAGGTTTTAACTGTTTCCGATAATGTCCTGTGTATAAAAAGTACATTAATATATGTACACACTAATAATATACAATAATATTATATTAACAATTTTTTAAATAACATATGTATTGTGTATATATTATGTAATTTTTAACTTACAACATAATAATTAAAACAAGAATTTTAAAAACTCTATTTCTTTTTTATTTTTTAATTAATTTGACCAGTAACGTAATGATAAAGTATTTCTGGTACAAATTAATGCAATTTCTTATTTTTACAAAAATTATTAAATTTAAATATATTTGTTTCAAACTGAGAAAAATGTATTTTTTTCAAAATATTTTTCACAATATTTTATACTCACTTGTCATTACAATATTCCCAATTGCCTCTGTTATGTATTAATGATATCCTGTCCCGTGATTTTTGTGATTCATAATCTAGCATTGCTAAAAAATAAGCATAATAATTTCATCATAATATAAGAAATACTTTGAAAAGTTTCAATCGTTCTCAATTGTAGAAACTTACAATTAGACTCTCTAGAATGTACAGTAAATCTAGCATTGACAGAAAGACAATAACCTTCTATTACTTTCAATATAATCGCATCTTCTTCAAATTGTCGCTCATCTAATATAGAATATGCAATAGAAAATAAATTAAAAACTTCACATGTATGTTTGATACTTAATACTAAAGCAATCTTACTGCATGATCGTGGTGAGCGTGATGTATCTGTAGTAGTATCTAATTTTCCAAAATTCTTAAGAGAATATAGGGGAGGAGCAGGTCTTAGTGATGCAATACTCCAAGGTGTCTTAATCCCTGGAGATGTACAATGCTCCATCGCCGATCGTTGGTGCTTTCCGTTCAACTGATTGCTTGTCTGCTATAATATGTATGCACCATTTGTAATATTTCAATAATATCGCATAATTGCGATTGTTTCTATCATATACATGCACAGACTAAAAATTTATCTGTGTTCGAACGTTATTTATATTATAATTTATACATTTATACATTTTTTCTATTTGTTCTGCAGAGTCTACTTTTAGTATAAAAACATTTTTTAATGTAAAGATACAAGCTAGAAAAGAAAAATACTACGATTATAATTATTGAAGTGCACGACCTATTTGAAGACCAAAACTAGTATATTTAAGCTAACTAGAATCTTTTGCGAAGTGAATGATGACGATGGAATAAAAAATAAAGGCATACGCATAAAAATTGGTGATGTTTCTCGAGAGACTATTCTATGAAATGTAATGCATTGTGTTAGTAAAGCGACAGCTTACTTCACACAACATGGCTGTGAAATAAGAGCATACGACTTTTGGTAGAAAATGATAATTAGTAAAAACACCAGCATGGTTAAAAAAACTGAAATGATCAAAGGAACAGCCATGCCATGGAAGCTTGCCTTGTTCTGTGCATCCAACTATCGGGATAGATTTCTTGAGCCACCAATGAGCATATAATCCAGATGAATACACTTGATTTGTTGGCTCGTCATATTCCTCTATAATTGGCTGTATTGGACGAACTACACGTCTCCCGATTTTTTTAATTACGCACTGATGCGCATATGGTATCGGTTGCGTATACCTTTTCCCTTGTACATTTCCATAATTTATCAGAGGATGAACTAATACAGTCTCTTGAATTTTCTTCCCACTATTATCGTTAACATCGTTACCGACATCATTAGATCTCACAAGAGTTGGACATTCATCAATATTTTTAGACGAAGCCACCGAGTGAGCACTATCTCGAGGCGTAGAGCCAAATGGCGAAGAGCAAATACATTGATGTTCAAACTTATTCTCATCATTATCGCTTTCGCTATGAGATGTTCTTATAGGATCTGTATATTTAGTATGACTAGACGTATATGATTTGTAACAGGAATTAATTTCAGATGAACGTAAGTGATAACTCTCGGCCATTCCCGAATCTGAAGACCGTAAGCTAATATTTACACACGTTTCTCCAAATTCTTTCCCGATGTTATTATCGCAGTTATCATTCTGATTAGAATATTGAACTGGGATGTCTAAGTTTTTTGGATAAAACTCTTCGATAGCTCTCAAATATTTATAATCTACAGTCTGATCTCTATCATGTGAAATTTCCAAATGCTCCCGACAAAATTTATTACGTGTTTGAAAATTTGACGTATAAGACTTGCTTGACGCGAGCGGAACATTTGGTAGGACGTGACTCATAGCACCAGCCGGTAAACTCTTACTAGTCTCGAAGGTACATCGATTGTCGCAATCAACTCTCGGTGCGAAATTCGTGAGTGAAGAAGTGCTCGTTAATCCAACAGTACTAAGATCAGTATTATCTAACACATATCTAACGTCCAGTATTAACGAAGATTTACGCAATATTCGTGACTCCTCCTTCACATTACTTTCATCAAGTGTATCTGATGTCTCGGATCCTTCGCTAGTGTGAGTAGGAAAAATAGTGTAGGTCACGTTACACTTTCTCATTTTTACGTTAGTTAAATCTGGCCTCAGAATATACTGAATATATAATAATTTCTTCATCAATTCAGGATATATAACTTTTCTCCTCACGAGCTTCGCAAAGTATCTCGAGAGTCGAGCGTACGGAGGGTGATGATAACTCACACGAGGCGTGGTTGGTGATTTCAAGAGGCTAGTACACTGTTCTTGAATTAAGAGATCGATCCAACGCTGTCTCTCTTCTTTTGTAGTGCACAGTACAACAATGCTTTCAATCATTGGTCCTTAAAGCATACATATCGCATTCATTATTATATAATTATTTTAAGAAATAATTATTGCTCTCGTATGAACTTATAACAAAGAATTGATATATTTCCTTATTCCTAAGTTAACAAAATAACATTTCTTATTTATTTTGTGAGGTAGAATCTATCTCTCATGATATATTTGACATAAAACATTGATGGCCATACCAGTGATCTCCAGAGCATTTCTTATATCGTCTGTATCTTCAATGCCAGTTACATTAATGCCAGTTAATGGGAGTTTTCCCTACAAATAATCACAACATGAATTAAAATATTTATATATTGTGTTTTTAAAGCAATGTGACAGAGATGTTTCCAAATCTACCTCGTAAATAAAGGAACTCATCCTGGGACTGGTGCTAAGTACCAGCAGTGTGGTAGGAAATAAAACAAAGTATCTATCTCTACGATCTACACCAGTTGCTAGAGTAACAGATCCGACGTGAATAATCTCGCCTAGTGAATTTAATTCTTCACCTTCCCAACCTTTGATTCCACTAGTTAATATTTGGAGTGCTAATTCACGCTGCTTACGTATGGAAGCGCAATGATCCTACAAATAAAATGGATCAAATAAATTTAAATTTAATATCAATACCATTTTTTGTTCATATAATGAAGATGTAGAATGATGAATCATCATACCGCGATTTCTCTATACACTGTTATACTACGTTGAGTATCTCCTCTGTCGGGATGATTTTTTTCAGTGTATCTTTCTAATTCTTGAAGCATAGCAGAGTACTTATCTAGTCTTCGAAACGGTTTACTAAGACCAGTAGTTAATACTAATATACCAGGTGATATTGCTCCACTGCGTTCCATAAATTCATTTAATTCATCTCTAAAATAATAATACATGATTAATATATTTGCAATCGATTATTATCTTTCGGAAATCATAATACTATTTTAATAATCTACATTATTTTCCAGTAGGATTCCATATTGAATCACTGTGCTAAAACAATCATTTGTCAAACAAAAAATTCAAATTCGCTTCTTGAAATTGTCATTCTGTATATATTAGGAATTTTTAATGGAAAAATAATGGTAGTAGTAAAGTGAAATATGAACTTAATCGCAAAATAACCAAAAACAAATCATAATACTGCATCATCTCTTGAATAGCAAAAATTTTTACATAAACATCAAGACTCGATTTGTAGCAATCGAAAAAAAAAGATATATTTTTGAAAAGTACCTGTATCTATCTAATATGCAAACAGCTTGTGGATGATTATTACAATATGTAGTGTGAATAGACTTTAGCCTCAGTGCAATAGTTAGGAAAAGATTCCCTATTCTTGCAGAGAGTCCTTGCAAAACAGTTCCTTCCAAATTTGCTAATAAACATTGATGAGTCTCCAATACCTCGTGAATGTTACCAAGTAGCTGCTTATACTCATCTTTCTTCAGTCTAAGTATAATTCGAGATTTTTATCGTACAATATACGTAACACATTTTTTTTCTTCCATCTTATTAAACATGACTTACATAGTTGATGTTTCAAGAGGTTGTAGAAAATTATTCACTAGTCCTTGCAGTTCAGCTACATTCACTCTTTCAGAAT